CTTGCATAAACAGACAGCGATTTCCCCTATAAAAGTAAAATAGAAAGTACTTTTATCTGTTTTGGTAGTAATTCCCGTTTTTAATGCTTCAGCTTGTGTTATCTTGTTCTATGCCTAGGGTATCGATTCATGTTTAGGTTTTACGGAACAAAAGATAGCAATAGTTGATGAGATAATATTCATCATGAACTGACATCAGTTGGAGAACCATTGAAAACCTGAGAGGACTAGACAGCTGTTTCATTCTTGTATAGTACATCTCACCAGTACGCACCCACTACCTGGCTGGGGATCGAACTCGCAACCTCTAGGTCTCACGGGGAATGCGTTAATCATTCAGCCACAGAGTCGAAGTTTAATGGTTCTCCAAATAATTTCAGTCCATCACGAATACTACCTGGGAAATAAAAATACACATCAACTTCAAATTAAAATGTTTGATGAATGTAGATTGTACGACTGAAAGCTGATTGTATTGATGAAGATGCATTTATGCCTTACGTTCACTTTAGTTATATGCCAGGTGGTTTTTCACTTCATCATCTCTTCTGTTTGTCGCACCCTTCTCTACAACATGTAATCATGCTACTTTTCATTTATTTACATATAATTATTTTATCTTCCAGCTTGCTGTGCTGATCTGAGGTTGTAACAGTTAGAACTGTTGTGCAATAAGTTCACCTTCTACAATGATAACCGCTTTTTTAATGCTTTTTTGTCTAGTTATTCAAAGATTATGTGAATTTTCCCCCCGTACTCTTCATATTCATGTAGCTGAGCTGTGGTTAGTTTTACTTCCTGAGTAGAATGTTACCACCTAGGTTTGTTTATAACTTGGATCTACTATTAAAACGAATGAAACTATCAAGGCAGTTAGTCGAAAGAGTGAAGTATTACATTCTATAGGCTAACAGTACTCACTGATATGCATAATGACTTATAAATGATGATCATTTTGTTCCAAAAATGGTAATTAAGGTAACTGATTTATTTTATCAGTTCAGTGATTCATTCTGATTGCAGATGAATCTTGTTGAAAGCAAAATTCATTGTTGAGGTGATACTTTTCACTGTAATATATATGTCCATTTACCTGTCTATTATATCAGTAAATAAAAGTGGAATATTTCTGAAAAGGATGTTCTTCCACAGCTGCTTAGGTATTAGTATACGAAACATTACAGAAAATCAATGAACAGTTATGTGTACAGTTCTCAACTTATCAGTCTACATAAAATCTGATTTACAACTTAAACAATCTTCAAATTATGAGCAATGTTCAATGTTCAGTTGAATACATAACAGCATGTTACAAGCACAAACAGATGATGTTTTATGAATACGTCCAGAACTTCTAGACGTTTTTCAGCTTTGAAAAAATGAAATTTATGTTGGAGAGAAATTCAGGTTGGAAATGGTACAGAATATTTGTGGCTCAGGTAGATGGGCTTGGTTGCATTGTAATCTGTGAGCTCGGTCGTTTAATCGTGGGGCTTTCATCGTCACATCATCAGCACTAACTTCAGCGTGAAGTGAGCTGTCAATATCTCTCCGTGGGTAATTTAGTAGCTTGCTCTGACGAAGCGGTCTGTGATTAGTTTTCTTTTTATTGAGGTGTCATTCACTGCATAGATTTTCCTGTTGGCTGTCGCTCTACTTGACCTTTGACCTTTCTGTCGTCTATCATTTTTCTCACTGGTTGATAGGTTGAGTCAACGCCTATACATCTATTGACTGCTGACCGACCTGAATGCCAAGCTTTTAGGAATTGTTGGATATTCTTTGCGTTTCCTCTTTCCGTCCAAAATTTCTACATTGTCAAAATCGAATTCATGTCCATAATTACCCACGTGTATTGAAATGAGTCACGAAATGTCGTGACGTTGAATGACCAGATGATGCTCATGTAAACGAAGACGGAGTAGGCGACCACTTTGTCCAATGTAGCACTGAATACAGTTATTGCAGTTGATTTTATAAGTGATATTTGGTTTGTCTTCTGTGGTTGTTGCGTCCTTTGATCTACATAATAGGGTTTGGAGGGAATTTGTTGGTTTATGAGCCACACCAATTCCAAGGGGTTTCAGTAATCTTGTTGTGATTTTTGATATACTCTTGATATTCGGTAGGATGATTTTTGTCGATGACTTTGTAGTTGATGATGTGAGGGATCAGTATCTTCCGACAAAGTTTGGCGGGTAGCCGTTCTTCTTTTGGATGGACACCAAGTAATTTTCTTCGTTTCTCCGTGAAGTTGTTGTGCTGCAGCGTAGTCTCGCTCGTTAGAACAGCGTATGCATGCAAATAATTTTGTGCATTGTTAGGTTATTGTTATTGTAGTTGAACCTAGCCTAGTTTACTAGTTCACTAGTGGAAACAAGGAAAACGATGGGCTGACCACTCCAAAAACTCTTAAATCGGCCACCACCGCCACCTGCAACTCGTCCAGAAATGCCATCAGCAACCGCAAAACTACCAATGAACGCAAACCTTCCAACAAAAGCAGAAGTCCTGAACGCCGTAAAGTTGCTGAAAGCTGGCAAAGTAGCAGGGCTGGATGGAATTTATCCAGAAGCACTGAAAGCAGAAGCAGAGACAACAGCAGACACGCTTACACCACTGTTGGAGAAGGTTTAAAGGGAAGGAAAGGTACCTGCAGATTGGATAAAAGGGCTACCTTGTCAATTTTCAAAGAAGAACGGCCTAAGTCTTCGCAAGAACTAGAATTGGCGCGGAATCATGCTCTACTGCTGTCCACTTCAAGCAAAATATTATGCCACATCCTACTAGAAGGACCAAACAAAAATATACTCTGTATTCAAAATTACGGCAGGAACAAGCTGGCTGGCTTCAGGAGGTACAACTCATGTGCGGACCAAATTGTAACGCTACGCATCATCAAAGAACAGAACGCAGAATGACAGTCAACTCTCTATCTCGACTTCATCGACAGCATCAACCGAGAGGTAATTTGCAGGCAGCTGCTCTAACACTACGGTTTTAGTGCTACAAACCTTTATTAACCTCATCCAAAAGCTACATGATGATGATGATACATGCCAAGTGATTCACAATGGAAAGCTCAGCGACACCTTTGAGGTGAAGACAGAATGTTCTTAATTTTGGTCGACTAGACTGGATCATACCACAAACTGTGAAGAGTGAGAAGACGGGCATATGCTGTTTGACCGATGAAAAGACCCTACGAGATTTGGATTTCGCCAACCATGATGATTTGTGTCTAATGTCTTGTCGCACAAACTCGAAGATATACAGGCAAAAACCAACAAGTTGACAGAAGAGGCGAAGCAGGGCAGCGAAGACGAGACTTCAAGTGAATGTAGAAAAGACAGAGGTGTTGAAGTTACTTAACAAACAACAACAACAATCTCCAATCACCATCAACTGGAGAGATCTAAAGGAATTAGTCTCTTTAACCCACCTACGTTGAGCAGCATCCTTTCAACTACAGGTGGCAAAGATGAGACGTCAAAGCCAGTCAGGATCGGAAAGACAGCAAGACATGCCTTCACTAACCTGAAATCAGTGTGAAGATCTACTGTACTCAGCATAAAGCGTGAACAACATCCGGATTTTCAACACTAATTCAGTCATGTCAGTGCTTCTATGTGATGGTTGAGAGGCTTGGAGCGTTACGAAAAGAATCTCCAACATGCATGCATACAACAACAGTTGCCGCATACACTGACTGGATACTGAAGATCAGATGGATGGCAAGAAAGAATCAGCAGCAAGGAGTTCTGCTCTGACAACGAACCAACCAAGAACCTATCGCCCAACAAATATGCAGAAGAAAGTGGAGATGCCTGGAATCGGGAACGATAGTGGCATTCGGGACCAAATGTATCTTGCTTTTGAGAGGTATACTGCATCCATCTCTTGCGAGTGATTCAACCACAGTGACTACAAAAATTAGGAATCTAAACTCACCCCACCTTTCGACTTCAACAAAGTCATCACTAATTAACGGTGCTGTGTTGAGCTTCTTCACGTTGACGTCGTGATACGTGACTAAGGAGCTGATCAATGCCGCCAAGGAAATCTTAATTACCCCCCCCCCCCCCCAAATAACACTTCTATCCAGTCTGCCTTTGTCTTCTTACTTTCTACATTGCCTGGAGCAGCCGGTGGGATCTTGAATATGTAATTTACACAATAGTGAGACAAACAAAAAAGGAAACAAATATGCGTGGTGGTACCTTCGAAACCACTGACTCTGCTCTGCAAAGCGTCATGTTTCTCATAAGATGACCATTGTTGCTATTGAACTAATTCAGATAAAATGTCGATTTAACTTATCTTTTAAGGCATTCACTTATTTCACCCTTGTTAGTGAAGTTATTCGAAGATAAACATGTGAAGTCCCCGAATAAGCACTGTATATTTTTTTTATATATGCATATATAATCAATTTACGTTGTAGGGAAATTTCCAGTCACATTGATTGACTCTCGTTGATGGAGTTAATTTTACACAGCACACTAGTATGTATCCCCAGATCAACCCACTCCCACCCCCTGTTATTTCCTAAAATGCCCACCGATTTTATTCGACAGTTAAAATAGACACAAGGATACCATGTAACTATTGAATCCTGATAATATAAAGACACAAAGATATGATTCCTGCAGTATAGACTTATAGAATAACCAAATGTTTGAGCATATTATAAAGTTTAGTGCTTGTGTCCAGTTGTTTATGTCTGTCCGTCTATCGATCTCTCATCCCACTGAACAACCTATCTCATAGATATATATGTATACTCACACACCCATAACTTGTTGTCTATCAGAAACCTAGATGAGAGTTATTTTCGTCAATGAGTAGTCCTCATATAAATGGATTAAAAATTGAATAAAAACAGAGAGAAAAGAAAGCGAGAAATTAGAAACAAAAATATGGATTATTGATGCTAGAGTGGTTATCTCTTAATTCGACCCCTTTTCCACCGTCAACATGAAAATGCTCCATCCATCAGGATGTCAATTCCGCCAAAGTGCAATTTACTCATGAATGTTAACTTATGTTATTTGCGTGTAACAAGTATGTTAGATGAGTACTACAAAACTTGCTTATGATAACATGGAGAACTTTACTATGTGTTCATAATTTTCTACTGTATGAAAACCCTGTGAACGCACGTGTGTTACATAATCTGAACCTAATTATCTCTTCTTCATAATGACATCAGTAAACAATGCTATGAATATTCATGATATCACGAGTGATGATATACATTTTCATTCAAAACACCAATTAAGTATTGATGAGAAATTTCATCGAGATCCTAAATATGAAACAATTAATCAGTTAGCTAAAGAAACCTTGAACATTGATCTACCTGAATCACAAAGTTCAACAAATCGTGCATTATTTGTATTTTCTAAAAAGAATCTGATTCGTAAAGCAGCGCGCAGTATAATTGAATGGGGATATCCTTTTAATTGATCCACATTAATAACTGGAAACGGGTTTGAATTTTACCTAATCATAATATTTTTAGACGTATGTATGACATTTTTAAAAAAAGGTTTATTATTTTAATCCGGAAATTAAAAGCTTACTTGGGCCATCGCTGTCAGTACGGAACTGACTGTGTAACAGTGTGTGTAACGACATCATATGAAATGAGGATACTAAATAAAGGTTATCACAGTACACAATACCGTTTATTCACTTAAATGGAACCTGACGACTTACTGTTTTGAAATTCCATACAGAGTAATTAGTTATGAAAAATAGTCTGGATATTAATCGATTCTCCAATTTTAGGGGGAACAAATTTTCTTCAAGAAGACAAGATTAGATGAAATTAAAGTTTTGCAACACAAATGGACGCAAAGTCCTATGAAAAATCCTTTTTAGAAGTTTGCTTTAAGTAATAGCTGGTAACCTATTAGTCACTGTGGTTATAAAAAATATATTTCGATGCGTAGAAAGAAGTTAAACAGTATCTAGTGGAGTTAAACTGAAATTTGACAGTAAAACTGTTGAAATAATTTTTATCAACAAGTGAATCTCGATAAAAGTTCATATCTACGAAACATGGAGTTAAAAACTGTGTGATTCTTAGGTTGGACATCACAGCAAATACTGCTGATTTATAGGTTGTATTACTTCGCATTCTGTTTGTGGCTTAGACTGGTGTTTTATAATGTCTGTTCGAATATGAAGCTCACTGATACGGTAGAAGATATTTTATTCCATATTACCAACTAACTCCTTCAGTACACAGGTAAGAATCAGTGTGGATTATGGGCTTCTAAATCATGGCATTACTAATCTGCTTGTTTAATATTATCCTGCTGGCTGACGACCAGTGGTAAATTCATCGGCATTTACCACCTCTTCTCAATGATAATATTTCTGATAACTTTGTTTCAGTTTGACTAGCGAATACCATGACTTAGAATTTAGAATTCTCTTACTTGAGTGATACTACAGATTGCCTGTCAGCATAGCATGCTCTCTTTGGTTCTCAACTAGTGTGTTTCAGCTTAATTTGTATTGAAATATACAGGAACACTGTTTTGTGATAGTGTCAGTAGCCAATGAACGACGCTTTATTTTTTTAAACTGTACTGCAATTCCTACTGGACGCTTGTCACTACGGTCACTATTCCTTTGAACACTATTACTCATTGAGAAAGTTATTAATAGAATTATTACCACCCTCTTTTGGAGCAGAGAGGAACTTTCTTGCAGTACGAAATAGCTGCTCAAATTAAAAACTAGCTGACTGATTTAGAAAATGAACTAGTGATTATTTTTATATGTATAAAACTATGTACACCAATAAGTTTAACTTAAATGAGGAAGAAATTAGTGTTTATTCCAAAGTTAACATTAGTACAGAGTTGAGTCGAAAGCATTAGCTTTCGAAAAACTACACTGCATTTGATTGTTAGTCATGAGTATTATTCTAATCGAGTTGTTTTAAAAAGCAATATACAGAACGCATAGGTCTGATAGCGAACGTAATGAAGTTGAAAAATTGGTAGTCAGTTTACCGATTATTGTCTGCTGTCTTTAGTTTTCTTAAAGCGAGATGAAGTCTAATTTTCATCTCTCAGATTTATTTGTTTCAGCTTTTCATGTGATTACTTTTTCTGACTAAGTTAAACTAAGTTTTTAAATGTTTTACGGTATTTTAATGTTTTCTGTAATCACTTAGAATCTCTGGAAGTCATAATAAATCATATTTCTTGATAAGTGAAAGCCAACCATGATCGAGAAACTGTTTCTTCTCTGTGCATAGAATACTGCCAGTTCATGATGTCTTTTCGACTATTAGTATGTTTTTTTTTTCTCATGATAAAATCTATTCTTTAGTTCTATCAAACTCCTTAAATGTCAAACCAATTACATTTTGCAACGTTACATTCAAAACCTATGTTTCTATCGTCAATAAAACATTTTGTGAGGGTAGGCATTTAAAGGCAATCAGTGGTTACAGTGTCCTGGAGACTAGTTCATCATGTTGTAAACTTGATCTTTAATCTTTATTGATCTCTTAGAACTTGAATTCTGCATCAGTCGCTATGCAGTGTGGTCAAACCACCACCGATATCTAAGGTTTTGTATAGTTAGTAGGAAGTAGTCAGATGCTTAATATGCTGAATCATTCATTATCAGGTATGCAGAACAATAGGTGTCTTTGTTTCTGGGTCACTCATTCCAATGGTGAAAGGTGTAAATAATTTCAAACATTGTTTCTAAGATGAGTTTATTTGATTACCCGATTGTTAGTCTATGATTAACATGTTATCAAAGAATATTTAAAGTGCTTACAGATTACAAGGATTTCCTAAACTGTTCTAATTGTAAAGATTATTTGAATTACCAGTACGTGGAGACGAATGCCGTCACACATTGACACCAACGAGAGATTCCATTGAAATTATGGCTCAGTGGATAGCTATTATTTCACGGTGGATACCCGCGATTTCTTTTGAGGGTGAATTTGTTTGAGAAGTAAACATTTACTACTTAAGTAATGTATATTGATATAAATGACCTCAATCTAATATGGGGTTCATTGAATTCATCTTCACACCTGACGTTACTAACTTCATATATCAGGAATTCTCGATATTACCAACCTCTTCCGGTTTACTTACAATATGCAGACATATTAATAAGGATATGGGTAAAAACAAGCTCAAGGTTCCTCTCTTTATGTCACTGGATATTAGGAACTCGTCATTAAATCTTCCTTTAAGCATTAGACTTATTTCAAGGTCATAGTTTAAACTAGTCGATTGAAACAGTTTTATTCAAATCATTCATCTTCTTATCCTATAGTCAAACATTCTGATACATTATTTTAGCTGTCAACATTTTAAGTCTGTTTCAAAAGTTTTTCTTACCTTCCATCGGATTAAAGTATTTGTATAGGTACGAAATAAATTCCAAATGTTCCCATAGGAAATTCAGCGTATCGTTGAAAGTTTAACATATTCATTTCAACTTTAATATTACAGCTGAATAATATGAATATAACACTTCGATAAAGTGTTTCAGTTTACGGATGAACATTTTCTGGTTTGTCTTGTAAACGTATTTTATGTCTAGTTTTAGTCATCTCAATAGGCACGTAAAGAGATATCTTTTACAGACCGAGCTCATTTTGAATACAGACAACTTAAATCGATTTTACTCATTAAAGAAAATTTCATCGCTGGTACGCTTAGAATGTTGTTAATAAGACAATCGAATTCTTATCACAATTCTGTGGGTTTACTGCTCACTTGTTTAGGCAGTTGATTCTCAACTAGTGGATTACAGGTTTAACTACCGCTCCGTCTACTGAGGTTTGGGTGACCAGCTGCATGATTTGCCCCCACATTATAAATATGGCTTATTGACTACTACACGAGCGAATCCAAAGTTGCTGATTGCGTTTTGTTTCGATATCATAATTAAAACAAAATGCTTTCATTAATTCTCATACCACGCAATGAAACATTATGAATTTCGTGTGGTACGGCGCTTAGTTCTGCAGACAGGATATAAACTACTTATCTGATTTCAAACTCACATGTTAGCAGTTAATTTATTAGTATTCGATGTATTATAAGTGGAACCCAATCGACTGAGGAAAAAATCTCAACTGTTAGATTGTTCAGTGACAAAAAATGCCGTGGAGTTTCACACTAGAACAAAATAGCTGTCTAGTGGTCACAGGTTTTTTACTGATTCTCCAACTGATGTCAGTCCATGATGAATATCAACTTGGGAACATAAAATTGCAGTAAATGTCACATCTAGTAAACGGCAGACTTCCTTCCGATTTGGAAACTTAATTCCTATGATATCTTGGGCGACAATCATTAGTCCAAGCTACCCTGCATTTTTGAATCACGGCAACTTGTTACTAAGCTTTTTGGTTTTTTCAATATTCATAAACATTATTATTATTTTAGAATGAAAATGGTATTTCGATTTTTTAAAATAAATGCATGACCTTGTTTATTACTGTGCTTAAGTAAATGCTTTCACATATGAATCAAATTGCACATTCTCGCCAAAAATGGTATATAAATGAGATTGTACGGTTGAGTCAATGAATTCATCGAAAATAGTCTCTGCTCTGAAACGTTTGTTTCTATTTTCTTATAGGTTCATATAGAGATTTTTCGAGAAAACAGGTAATATCCAAATTATTCAGTGGTAGGCTTCCTGTTCTCATCACCACTCAACGATGACGACCTAAAACTCAGTAATTGCTATTCCCTTTGAAGCCTGACAAAAGTACCTCTGCCTATTATGAAACGAAACTTCATCAAAATGATTCTAGGGATACTTGTAATTTTCCGTTCCCATATAGAGCCGAATTGCTTGACCTCTATTGGCAGATGGGCTCCGATGAGGATGCCTCTATTCTGGTGACTAGCAGAGGAATCCAAGGCGCGCGTTTTGTCCTATTCGGGACTCGTCAACTGGACGGACCAGCACTTCAGTGCGGAGTGATGTTGTTCTCACGGAAGCTTGGATCAAGTACGCTTCGCTTCAAATGTCACGGCGTTATCACCTAAGTCACTGGGGCACGACTGCCACCTCTTGTGTTTCGATTATCAGATGGGGCAGTGATACTTGCAATTTCCCCCTCCTAGACACAACCAAACTGCTTGACCTGTGCAGGTAGATGGGCTCTTATATGGATGCTGTATTGCCTCGGGATATTCATGATGTTATAATGATCTAAATCAGTTGATCGGAAGAGGAAATAGACTTTAATATGAAAGTATTGTAAGGTCTAAAATGTAAATTGTAGAGAGTTTACCAATGAAAACTACCTTCAACTTCACTAAATTTCACACATGGTTAATACCCTTGAAACACTTATTTTGAATGAAATCATTTAGTATGTAGAAGATGTAGATTCACGTGTCATGTGGATTTTTGGATTTTTAAAAAAAGGCTCATATAGGAATCCAAATTACTTC